CTCAAGACCGAGCGCACGACATCCGTATTGACAAACAACAGGCATGTTCGGGTTGAATCAGAGTAGCATACCTTTGAAGGGGAATGGGCGAAAGGCTAATGAAGAGAAGTGATGACAACGCAAGCATAGGAGTCAGCGTCATGGCGACTAGCAGCCCAACAGGTGTTTGCGTATGACATGACCACGAAGTCATAAAATACAACGAATAGACGGCCAGATTTTACCGAGTCAAACGGAAATTTTCCTTCAAAATTAAAAGGGAGCAACGGACAACGAAAGAAACCTTGCGAGAAACTGTATTTAGCCAGGCAGCAAAGGCGAGGAATATAGAGTCGCTAGGAATAAATTGTAGGGCCACCCAATTGCAATATGAGTTGTTCTAGTAGTTCCCTTGGTCTACAGGCTTCATTCGCTAACCAATGGCAGCCTTACTTGGCCTTTTTGTTCTTGCCACAAACTTTTCATTCACACTTTTAGTTCAGTAAAAGAATTACTAGCGGTTTTAATTTTTTTTCCTGTGCGATTTTCACATATTAAACACGCAGTAACTGCTCATTTATGAAGCTTTGAACATTTAACCCCGAAATGCGTCAAAGTTTGGGCTGCGAGAATTTTACCATCGGGCAGTCCTTCGATTTATTTCTGCCGCAAAGTTTAACAACTTCATTGTAATTATTGGAAAGACAGTTTCCGAAAGGTCTACCGGGGTACCTACATCCACGACAACGTATCACATTCGTCATCGATTGGTAAATGGTTCACGTCCGTTGAAAATGCAGAAGCCTACTTATTGCACAAATTTTTGAGATCACTTCGCGGGTCATCATCCGAGATATGGACGAAACCTAACTGTAGGATACGGTAATCTCGTTACCCAGTCGCAACTGACTTTGCCAGTCCCAACTTTCCTTTGAGAATTTCGCACACTGTAGCTAAATCGATATCCTGTCGATGCATGCTTCATATGAGGGCACGGTCTTCAGGAATTTACCGTTGTACCTT